CGTGTTGTGAAAGTGTGCCTTCAAACAATGAATAATTGAAATGAGCAGTATTCTTGAAAGCGAACAGTACCTCTAGTGATCGTTTATGAGTTTTGTTACGAAAAAATGGTAAGGAGTCTCGTCTTCGAAATAACACGTTCCGGCTTACACCCTCAATTGAGGTTCCAAATTCGTTATGTCTGAATTCACTGGAATGACAACGATTAACTCGTGAAAGATAACACTTAGACGTATGATCAACTCCCCTGTTCCCTGAACAGTGCGAGAAGCTAAGTCTGGGGCCCTCAGGCATCAGCAGCACTGGGAGGGATGGGAAAGGGGTATCCTTGTCCTCCATCGTCGTTGATCTTATCCTCCATCAATCAGTACCAGATTGTTTTTCCTTTTCAAATCTTGATAGAAACCATAAACTCATTCTTATTCTTTCTTTTTACCTGCTACTCTTCCACTTGAAGAGCTCCTAACAGGACAAGGAAGCAGTGAACACATCTGAATTCACTGGAATGATACCGATTAACTAGAGCAGGAGAGCAACACAACGTACGATCAACTTCCAAGTCCCCTGAACGGAGCTGCTGCTCTTAGATACCAACCCGTCGTTGACGTCCTACTCCATCCCATTGTATTCTCCTGCTCGTGAACCTGAAGTGACCTAACTACATTCAGCTTAGCACTCAGTCAGACCTGTTACTCATCTACGTGAAGCTCCTAACAAGGCAAGGAAAGCTGGATCCTTGTACACCATCGTCGTCGATCTCATCATCCATCAATCAGTACCAGATAACTTTTTCTTTTTAAATCTTGAAAAAAACTATAAGCTCATTCTTATTCTTTCTATTTACCTGTTACTCATCCACTTAATGAGCTCCTAACAGGACAAGGAAGCAGTGAACACATCTGAATCCACTGAAATGATAATGTTCAACTAGAAGAAGAGAACAACAAGACGTACGATCAACTTCCAAGTCCCCTGAACTGAGCTGATGCTCTCAGATACCAATCCATCGTTGACGTCCTCTTCAATCCCCCTGTAATCTCCTGGGAAAGAAGAATCATCTTCCTCCATCGTTGCTGTCCTTATCCTTCACTTCTACAGTAACAGATTCCAGTCATGGATTAAATCTGAAAAAAAATATTACTTCTTGCTAAACACTTGTTCTTACCTGCTACTAGCTCACTTCATAGACATCATGAAAACAAGGGACCAGTGAGCACTCTAAAACAGACTGAAAGAAAGGTTTCACCAAGTGAGACAATGCTGATACGTTCGAGTCAGTTCTTTGACCATACTAACCTTAGAACGGATCTATTCCAGCACTAGCTCACACAACAACGTCTGTAAATAAAAATATCATTGTTGCTCACAAGCATGACAGCTTATCACTTGTTATGTTCCTTATGCTAAAACGGCACCTTCTCATAAGTAGAAAAAAGTTCTGTCCTTCGCGATTTCATACTCATACATTTTTACCTAGAAAAAATAAAATCAGAAAAAGAAACACAAGAAACCAGAACCTACATGAGATTTAACAACATTTTCTCTGTACTCTGAGAACATCAATTTCTCACAATGATAACCTAGATATTCTCACTTGAGCTCCATAGTGAAGAACATTAGTTTTCATTCAAAATGGAATGGTTACTTAGCAATACTTCTCGTACGAAAAACATCAGTCAACCTGAATGATTAGAATACAAAAAGTTCAACGGATAAAGACGGGCTTCCCTGTAACTCTCAACGGCTTCGGCGGGTGTTGACGATCAGAAAAAAAAAGATTTCAAATAACTTAATTTGCGAGTAAATAGACCGATTTAAACCCTGAGGCATCGCTACAGCACAACCGCTACAACCAAAGGGTACAACTAAAACAGACAGTTCGTTCCTTACCTCTAGGTGTAGTTAGCGGTGGCATAAAAAAACAGCCGCTCACAATATCGTCGAAGCTTGGAATGAAAACCCCAAAGAGTTCATTCTTCTTTTTTTTTTTCTAAGTTAGCGGTGTGGCAGGTTCAATGAATGCAGCAGGCCATATCTTGGCGAAAACTCGGTCAAATCGCACAATTTTTTTGAAATTATCCTAGAATAAAACAGAAAATGTTTCAGTTGGAATCTTACCCATATAGCTACCTGATCTTTTCATTATGATAGTGGAACTGTTGTAGAAGGATAGTTGGAAACAATACACTGAAAAAGACTTCAATCTTCTTTCTCCTTGTTGAAAAACGAAGACTTTCTGAGCTGTTCATAATACCGAACAGTAGTGTGAACAACCTGAAAAACACGATAAAACGAGCAAATCTATTAGAGAAGTAATGAATGATTTCAACAGGTATTTTGTAACAGATTTTAATTTCTTCATCATAAAATATTTATTGCAAACTTAAGATGATCACGAAACTGTAGCTTCGTTTCGATTGTTTTTATGCTCTCCAACAAAAATAAAACTACGCTGATACTAAATATGAACAAAATGCAAAGAAAACCTATATCAATTACACAGATCCAACTTTTTTGCTTTTATCTTGGAACTGAATTTTCAAAGCTTCTTCCTTGACATCTACATACTCTAACTGAGCTTGAAGATATTCCGTACTCTGCCCTTTAGCTTCTGCCTATAATGATAAGTCAACTTAATTTATTAGGACGGCAAAATTCAGACTTCTTTGATTTGATTCCTCAACATTTTCCTTTCCAAATTAGCGGTCAGAATATGCGGAGGAGTACTCCACACTTCATCCAAGTCTGATGGTTCTCTGAAAAAATTCGAATGATGATAACTTCTTCACCGAACCTGAGCCAACCGAAATATGCGACCAGTGCAGTTAAACTTAGGAGCGCCGAGATTATTTTTTTGTTGGCGAACTCGTCAGTAGCGTAATAATCAAGTTGGAATTGAGAACTTTGTACGGTTCTGCCTCTTCCCTGAATTGGTATCTGATGAATATATGAAAAGTGCTAATTATCACCATAAAAGCAGCACTCTTGCTGAACTTAGGTTCAGAAACCTGTTTAGTTGCCAACCCACGAGCTACAACTTTAGCAAAACGATGAGCAATCATCTACGGAGAAACTTACTAATATTTTTAAAAGGTAAACCAGTATTCAAATGATCAAAAGACATAGAGATAGTAAAGGATAATATGAATTTCATTATTGATAACGAATAACAACTTTTTCGGAAACAGAAAATTTTAACAATAACAACAAAACATAAAGTAGATTTACAAGCTTTTGAATCCAGATTTTTTGGACCAGAATGCTTTGAGCTTTACTTGGAAGAAAGCCATCTTAATCTCAAATAGTTTCAGAATCTGAAATTGTTTATTTACAATTCGTAAGCGATGAATGAATCTCACCTTAGCGCTTTCAGCTCCAATAGGTTTATCAGCAACGCAAACTTCAAAATCTTTGGTAAGTTCGATAACTCCTTTAACCATTTGTGTTGGTAAACCAAGTTTCTTGAGTTGTGGTTCCATAGAGAAAGCCATCTTCTCCAGTGGTCCTTGTGGAAAAGCAACAGTTTGAGTGGCTACTTCTCCAGCTCGAGCGTAATCCGCGATCTTCAAATCATCGAAGAACCTCAAAGCAAGATCCATTGCAATATGTGGATTAAATTTCTTACTTTTTAACCTCGGCAGAAGACAAGTTGGTGAACATCAGACCACAGTTTCCTTTCAGTTGCTCGCTCACCTGAGAAATAGAGGTGAACATATGTAACAAGATCAAGATTACCTTGTGAATACCATCTGCACATTCATCTCTAGCAGTCCTGCCGAGAGCAATAGACATAACATTATTTCTACCCAAGAAAAACCGTGTGGTAGACTTAAGCTTTTGTCTGATCTAAACCAAGTAAATGATTTAACGGACTCGGAATAGAACTCACATCTGTGAATAATGTACTACGCAAGTTTTCAATGGTAAAAACAAAAACATTCTCGTAATCTTCAGCAGCTTTTCTCACCTGAAACAATACAAAACATACTTTCTATAGTACTACTGAAACCATACCTCTGTTACTAAGTTCTCTTTGGTAGCTCTAGTTTTCTTCTTGACTTTGGTTAAAGAAACTAAAAATTGTATTACTGTTAATAAGTTCATTATTGAGCTCTTACCATCTTTATCTCTTCTGGAGCGAGCCATGCTTATGAATACTGAAAAAAATATATAATTAAAAAAAAGACTCAATAAAACTATTTGAATAAATTGAAAATAAACAATTTCATGTACAATTCACGAAATGAAGCAATCGTGTCGAGAGATGAGTGATACAGACCTTTAATAAAGGGAGCACGACTAGGTTACAAGTTGATGGTTCTCATTAACTATGACTTCTCAGTGTACTAAGTCGTTCAGCACTTTAGGTACAAATGATTCAGGACTACCAAACGAAGAAGTTTGTCATGCTTTACAAAAAGAATTTTTCTAATCCTTTTTAGATAGCATATTTGAGCCAGGGAGAGTTTTGGAGTGAAATTACAGACGATTACGTTCAAAAGTTAGCAGACACAGACCCATTGGATGTTTTCCCCAGTAATAATCCTGGCCCAACCAAAGATGATGGATCCATGAATTTTGAGTGTCATTGCGTTGGCCACATGGTCGCCAGTCCTTGTGGTTGGGAGTTCAGGTTTCAATTATATTTGCGCCCGTGATCAAACTGTTCGACACAGAGAAGCGATAACTTGTCAAAAAGTTGCCACAGACGAAGAAATGCAAAACGGTCGATGTGGAGACGAGATGATGTCTTTTATGGAGTGTGTAATGCGAACACAATGTTTTAAAGGTATCATAGCTATTCATGAAGATTTCTATTTTGAAGATTTGTAGGTACAGGATCAGAGTCAACCGAAGAAGAAAAATGAATAGAACCCCTCAAATATTTATGCAGAAAATAAAGTTATTACAACAGCTCAGTCAAGTATCGGAAACGTCAGGGAAATAAATTAATGTTTTCTATCTTTCAAGAACTGGTCGATAATGGGAGCATTCTTGATAAGAAGTGCATGGTTCAACCTAATAGCTTCAGAAACCTGTAATTGATTTTGTAAGAGAAATTAACTAGCAACAACAAACTTGTCTGATTGGCCTATCAAGTGTTTTCACCGAGTTTGCATCGAGGCAAGAGCAGAAGAAGCTTTCGACTTCTTGGGCGGCTTCTTGAGTACTGAAACTTTCAGCAGAAAGTTTGAAGCAGTGCTGAAGTTCGAATCTTTTTCACATTTTTGAATCAACACCCACTTGGAAAAGACTAGCATTGACTCCTCCGAACTTTTCCAAGAAAACGTTAACGTTTTTCTTGAAATAACTCCACAAGAACTCTTGACCATCCTTGCTGCCGCTGGGTCCGATCATAATCATCATCAAATCCTGTGATCGAATTTTTCCCTTAAATGAAACACATGATGTGAAAATTTAAATCTTCAGCAACCTCAATAATTCCATATTCGAAAAGTTTTTCTAATTGTGGAATAGCTGGGACTTGAGCCAAAGCAACGAGGGCTTGACGCTCGATTTCACCAAAGCCGACGTTTTCATAAATGTTGAGGAGATCATCATAAACTTGTTCGCCAGAGTGGCGAGCAACGGATCCGTAAATCTGAAAGAGAGAATGAGAGGTATAATTAGAATCTAGTCAACTCACAGATAAACGAAGATCAGGTTGAAGCTCTTTGTTCTTTGAAACATGCTCATCAAACAGAGATTTCATTGTGGCAATAGTATCTTGATGTCCGGCTTTGGAAAGTCTTCCCAAGATAACAGATCGCATGAGAGATCTTTGAGAACCTGGGAACCAAAAGTGATTGGAATTGGAAAAAATTCTTACTCTCTCCTGGAGTTGGTTCCCATCCTACACGCTCTTTAAGGGGAGATAGAATATCAACAATGAATTTATCAAAACTGCAAACTAATTTGTGATCGAGGTAGAGTAAGAGTGAATTACCGTTTCTTCAATGTTCCGTCAGAGTCAGCACTGATAAGGACATTACCTAAGGTGGAAATTCCATAATCCAATGTGCCCCAGACAACGTTTTCCTCTTCAGCTTTAGCTGCTTCGAGAAGAGTCAGGAACTGATCAGCGTTGGCTTTACCAGCACGAACCTTTAAAGTGAAGAAAATTAAAACTAGTTCCATTAGGATTTACCAGAGCAAAGAGATCATTAGCAATTCCGAATCTGTCCAACACGTCCATTTGTCCATTGGAGAAAGCTGGGAGAAGATTCTTGAAAGAGGCTTCATCATATTCCACTCTGTAGAAACCAGTAGTTCCCGCATTCAACTGAAATTATAAAAATTAGTAAAAAATCAAACTGAACAGGCAGAAACCTTCAGCCAATCGTTGGCAGGGAAATCTTTCAATGTGAACTCTTGCTCTCTCTCGGTCAGAAGGAAACTAGCTTTGATAGCTTTTGGATCAGAACCTGAGACTACCGTAATTGGAACCTAAGATCAATGAATAGACTAAACAAGGATATTTCAGATTACCTGCCACAAAGTATTCTCATGATCTTCGCCACCGTCAGCAAGGAACCGTTTTTGTTTCAGTTTCAATACTCGATCATTTCCTTGTTGAACCTGAACGCATGAAATCAAAGGGTATCCCATTTGTTTAGTCCATCCAGACATCAGCTTAGCGATATCCTGAATGAAGGCGATTAAAACAGATGGGACATATTAATTACTTGGCCGGAAGCTTCGCTCAAACAGTCCCACAAATCGACAGTGACGGCGTTTCCATATTGGTACTTCTTCAAGTACAAGCGAAGACCTTTTTGGAAAGTCTTTTCACCGAGATAATAGCACAGCATTCTGTTCACCGAGTTAGACTTTGCATATGTGATTGAGTCGTAAATCTCATCTAACTCATTGGGGTCATCAATTTCAACCTGAATCAGTAATATATATTAGTACAGCCATGTTTCAAACTTCAATGGGATGGGAACTTCTAAGAGCATCCAGCTTGAATCCTTGAGCGAGCTCATCATTGAGGAAGTATAGCCAGATTTGTAAATCTTCATAATTATATCCGACAAAAAGATATTCCATAAAAGATGCAAAGCCTTCTTTAAGCCAAAGATCAGTCCACCATTTCTAAATAACAATACATTTCGAGAAAAACTATGGGCAGACCATTGTGACCAAATCTCCGAACCATAGATGAGCCAACTCATGAGCAATGATAAGAGAAATTCGAGCTTTCTGTCTCGTTGAAGATTTTTCTTCATCGAAAAGAAGAGCAACCTCACGATAGGTTACAAGACCCCAATTCTCCATGGCACCTGAAGTCAAGGGGTTTTCATTCATAAAATACAAGAAGCACTCACCCATACTGAAATCAGGAATACCAATCAAATCACATTTGGGAAGAGGATATGGAATATCGAACCAATCGTTATACCAGTCGAGAGCCCTAATAGATATAGATAAGTAAAAAATCTTCATAATGATTTACCTAGCAGCCAATGACAAAGCGAATTTACCATGATCCTTCTTTCCTGGAACTGTATAAACACGAACAATAGTTCCACTCTCATTCTTGGTCTGAATTGGGATTGAAAAAACAAAAAAGCTGCTGGTCAACCTCAAGATATTCCAACTCTCCGACAGCAAAGGCAACAAGGTAAGTAGACATTATTGGAGAGGTATTGAAGGTTACAACTTTCTTTTTTTGGCATTCGCTTAATGTCTCAGTTTTGACATCCTGGAACCGGGTGAGCAGTCAGAGATAAGTGCAAACACGAACCATATTAGATAAAGCTGTGAATTCCTTATCAACAATGAGAGATACGTCAAAAGTAGCTTTGAAAATAGGCTCATCCCAACAAGGAAAACTGTACCGAGCGTAGGTTGACTAAACACAAGTTTCTATCATACATCATGAGTTCCCCTAACCTCAAACTGGGTAGATGCCAGGAACTTCTGCACACCATCTTGATTCTTGTAGGAACTTCTGTAGAAGCCTCTCATTTTATCGTTAAGACATCCCAGAAAGTCGATTGTGAGTTTGACCTTCAAAAAGAAGAAAACAATGAGTCTATCAGTTCAAGCGTTCAAACTTGTTGAGGAGCAATTTCTACTGGGAAGTTCACATTTATAATCTGATATTTGTCATCGAAAACAATGTCCGTGTGGTTCAAAACTGAAGAGCATGTTTTGTTATTCGTGTGAGAGTCATAAGACTTACTCGATTTATCAGCAAGTTCTAACTTGATGTTTCTGATTTCCAACTCACGACCATGGAATTTCAAAACATTCGTCGGCTTTGCGATTTGAAGATCAACTTCAACTTTACCATCAAACGTGAAGCTGGAAAGGCAAATATGGGGATGGAAAGGGTAGAGCACTAACTTAACCAAATCAGGGCTCAAGCTGATGTTGTAATGAGTTGGGCGTACAAATTCGGGAAGTCTTTCATACTTCTCCTTGACAGGAGCAGCACAAGTTGCCATGGCTAGAGTTCTTCGGGATAGGATATGTGGACGGGAGAATTTGAGAGCTCGCGCACCTAAAATTACTGAATGAGGCTTTTGAAGTAATCCACAAACAAACTTGATAAGAGTAAGGGTCGCCTAAAAGTTCGGAGGAGTTTAGAATACTGCCGAACCGACGGTGTATTCCAAGGGCTTCCTGAACATAAACGGAGAATTAATAGAGAAAAGTATGGGTAGACTCAATACAACTACAGACTGGCTAATAAAAATGACAAAAACCGAACTGAATTAGAGATCGCAGTCTGGAGCTTATCAGTAAAAAAGGTAAAAAAAACTTTTGAAGTGTCATAATGAAGAGAAAAATTAGAACACCTATCCGTTTTGCTGCTCACTCTATCTCTCACAAAGCGTCAACAACTGATCGTGATGATTTAAAGCAATGACTAAAGGACCATTTCTCTTCAATCAGACACTAAAAAACAAAGAGAATGGGGGAAACAGACGGACATAGAACTTTTGAATGTTAGAAAGACAGACATCAGGATTAAATGGGAAAATATGGAGAGATGTTAGGCAAATAAAATTAGTACGCAAACCTCCACCGAATGGTCTACAATTTCGTAAAGAAATACTCAGAGGTCGGAACATCAGTATGAGCCAAAACAAGTAACAAAAGGCCCACAATAGTTTCACCTATGAGAATCGGATCGATCAAAAGATACAAAATACAAGGGGTCTAAGGATGTATATATCTAAAGACAAAGTATAGGATGAGGAATAGGACCACGCGACCACAAACAAATTTGAAAAATAATTTTATTAAAAACATTTATAACAGAGAAATTGACTCTGCAACTCAACAATTTGATGCAAAAACAGTGTAAGATAAATACTATAGATAACTGATTTCAAACTGAAACTTGGTAATGTTGGCATACAACGGTAACATCAATTGCTAGAGAGAAACTTCTATACTAAGGAATTCTCTAAACGAAAATCTAGGCGAATGCAACTCTATCCTTCTTATTAATGAACTTGGCAAAGAGAGCATCAATCTTCGTAGCAACTTCACTCATTGGCTTACTAGCATCGATGGAAGTATGGATTCCATGCTTTTGATAGTAATTGACTAAAGGTGCAGTCTGAAATCATGGTTCATGTAATCCCTTATTGTAAGCGAAATTTTTTCTAGCGGACACGTACCACATCATGGTATTGAACCAAACGCTTTCTTAGAGTCTCTTCATTGTCGTCACTACGACGGATTAATGGTTCACCAGTGATGTCATCTTTCATTGGAATCTGAAAATCAAAAGATTATTCATTCCTTACAAACTGATAATGACCTTAGGTGGGTTAAACTCTAAATGGTAGCTTCTTCCACTGCTGCGATGGAAAAGACGTCCAGTGATACGACGAACAAGGAGCTCATCATCAATCTTAAATTCAACTACTGAGTCAAGAGGAGTCTCTCTCTTCTCCAAAAGGGCATCGAGCTGTAATAAAATACTTCGATTATACTAACATTATTCTATCTTCACCTTCTCTGCTTGAACTGTGGTTCTTGGGAAACCATCCAAAATAAATCCTAAACGGCACTCAGGTTTGTTCAGATTTACATCAATAAGTTCACAAACAGTGTCGTCAGAAACAAGTTTTCCTGAAAAAATTCAATCGTCAACCTCCCGATAACATCAAAAACCTTGGTCCATAGTATTTTTCAATGATTGTCCTAGTTCAGAGCCAGAGGCTACTTCCGCTCGAAGAAGATCACCTGAACTTCGATGAAACACCATTTATGCTATGTTTTTTACCAGTAGAAAGATGACAAGCATGGTAAGTCTCCGCTAACTTAGGAGCTTGCGTACCCTTTCCAGATCCAGGGGGTCCAAGGAGGATAGCCCGAATGCCACTAGAATGTACGGAATAAGGTGCGTTATATTGATTTGTTACCGTGTGAATGTTTCGGTTACAGAGCCTCCTGTCACCGGAACTTCAGCAGGAGCAGCATTCGTAGCTGGAGCCATGTCCCTATAAACAGGTTTGATGAGAATATTCGGAATGAAAGTTATGAAACGTGTCAAATAGTTACAACATTACGTACATTTCAATACAGTAAGAAGACACAATACACTTGGCAGAAAGAGATGTTCGGTAAAAGGAAAAAAAACTTTCAGAATAATTGATAGTGTTTAACATGTAATAAAATTTAAAAAAGAGTGAATGAGAGAGCAAACATTCACTGAAACTAATAATCTTACTTTGGAGGCAAGCAAATTTGATAAGAGAATTAATATCAACAACCCCATTCTGAGCAGAATAAAGGGCGGAAGTTCCGAAATAAAAATGAGCTATCAAGTAAGATTGGAGCAGCGTTAAAGATGGAAGATGAGGTTCGTCTTAAGGTAATGTAACAAAATTGAAATATGGAGAAATACAAACTGTTAGTCTATGAAATGTTATATTTGCTATGTCAAGGTCTTAGAATGATTGTATGTTCCAATGTGATAAGGGGAAACTGTCATTGATAAATTTGAAGAACGTGGAAGTCCGTTCAAATCTGAAAGTGAAGTAGGCAATCAATGAAATTACAATGAAACTTGGTCAGCGATGCAATAGTGAGGGATATGGATGTTCTACAGATTGTATTCAAACAGACAACTCAGATATATCTTGTTTTATCTGTTGATCAGAAAAGAAAACATGGGGAATATATAAACATATATTGAAGTTCAAGACATAGATGAGACTAAGTAGGGATGAACAAGAGTCAAGCAGTGACTTCTGGATTAGTCCGATGGCCATCAGAAAAATGGAAGAAGTTGGAAATCTTGACCGAAGATGTAGGCTAGAAAGTACTAAAACTATAAAATTGATAAGATTGCAAGCATATAAAAGAGCTATAACTGTGAGAATTACTTATTCATGCTTTTCCAACTTTGGCTCTTCCCTGCTCTAATTGCAGCAGCTTTAGGCCATTCCATACCACTTGGTTAGTTCATTAGTTTTGAAAGACTGGTTAAGACAAACTTCAGGAGAAGCAATTTCTCAGGAATGTCTAGAATGTCGAGTAACTGTTGACTTGTATGAAAAAGAATATGGAGATGTTTATAATACAATGTATGGATGAAGCTAATTAGTTTATTGTAGAAAACCACAGACCATATCGGAGAACTTCTCATAGACTTATGTATATCGTTCAAAGTAGAAACTAACTATATATGCAGAGCAGGTTTATCTAATTATAAGGTTAGTTAGGTTCTATACATCTGAATTAGAAAAATTCAGGAGGAAATTGAGTATGTTTTGGATACTACTCTTACGACTCCTAAACAAATCTGTTCTCTCGTTTTGGATAATTGCGGGAAGGTAGATACTTCTAAAAGTTTCAGAGCAGAAGTATTTTTCAGTTTTTTGATCCTATGAATGTTACTTGGCAACTCCCAATGCCTGGTTCTAAGCCTCCTGTTATACCGAAAACAGTAATCAAAGTATTTGTACCAGATTTGGGCCTTTCGTTATAATTACATTCTAGCCTGGCCAACATACTCTCAAAGTCCTTCATTTAACTGATATTCATATTGACAGAGATTATGTTGTAGGATCAGAAGCTCAGTGTAGCAACAAAGCTTTTTGTTGTCGTCCTGATGATGATCCAAATGTACCTATATAATTCCATTTACTTATTTTAATCTTATTACAGGAGCTTAATAAAGAAGGCGTCGATATCGTAGAGCCTGCAGGATATTGGGGCACACGTGGAAAGTGCGATGTACCGTTTTGGTTCGTAGATAATATGCTACAGCAAATCGCTGAGACTCACAAAGATGTAAAGTTGAAAAGGTCTTCATTCTACTAATCTTTACAAAAAAATAGGTAGATTACATATACTTGACGGGCGATTTGGAATCTCATGCCGTTTGGGATTACACGAAAGAAGCGCATGCCGATCGAATCCGCAATATTTCTGCTCTAATTCGCAGTCACTTTCCCGATAAGAAAGTTTACTTTGCTGTAGGAAATCACGAAGGAGTTCCCATGGACAGGTGAGCAAAGAGTTCAGAAAACCCATTTCCCTCTTGCTCCAGTTTTGCTCCACATTTCACACCTGCCAAGTTCAACATGTCTTGGCTGTACGACACGATTGCAGATTCTTGGAAGGACTCCATTCCATCAGACCAAGTTAATCTAGTTAAATAGTAGGAGCTTACACTTGTTGACCTTTTAATATTTCCTATCATCAGTAATGGATGTTTTATGGTGAAACCGTTCCCAGGACTTCGTATCATATCCTTAAACAATGGTTATGGAGACACTATGAACTTGTGAGTTACGTGAATGTGCATATATCTATAATACCATTCAGCTTCCTCATGGTTAATCAAACTGATCCTGATAACTCAATGTCCTGGTTCATAAAACAACTTGATGATGCTGAGAAAGCAGGTGACAAGGTACATCATAATAACTATTAAGCAAATGTTAGTTGCACTTCTAAGGTGCATGTTATTGCTCACATACCTGGAGGAACACCCGAAGGAATGGAAGGATTTTCTCTGAATTACTACAGAGCAATGATCCGGTTGTAACTAGACAAAAAATATTTTATCATCTTCAAGCTGCCAGATATGAGAACACAGTGGCCGGCCAATTCTTCGGTCATGTACACGCTGAGCTGTTCTACATGTTTTATGAAAATCCTAACAGTGCTCAAAGTCGACCAGTCGACGTTGTTTACAGGTGAATATCCTCTGAAGAAAAAAAAATAAGTAAGGTTAACGTTAGCGTTACAATAGCACAACCAGTTCAAATTGCGCCAGCTTAAGAAATGGCACGGCGTCTGCACACTTCGAATATTTCCTTATGGTGTATATTTACAGTGCGCCCAGCGTCACCACGTACTCGAGATACAATCCTGCGTACCGAATTTATACCATTGATGGAAACTACATTGGTTCGACATTTGTAATAATTCATAAATTAGCAACTTAAAACAACATTATTTTAAGAGAGTAATTGATTGGGAAGAGTATGTATTTGATATGAAGGAAAACAACAAAAACCCACAGAAACCAACATGGCAAACATTGTATTCTTCAGTGCTTCAAGTAGGTTATCTGAAATCTGATCAAAAAGTTTTTGTATTTAAAGGAATATGGTTTGAAAGGAAACTTACCTTCCGAATGGAGCAACTTGATCAATCGCATGAAAACTGATGATGCTTTGTTCAATAAGTTCATGAAGTTGAGCTGAACAGTGAGACAATTATAAAACGCTGTGTTTTCAGAAATTACTATCGTTCGACTGAATTTCCTGATTGGGACGAAGATAGTCGACTTGAACGTTTATGCTCATTGCGTAAATCCCATCATTCAGAAGAACTATGCTCAGATTTGAAAAAGGCTGGCAGTGCCTGACAATCTGATGAGCCTTCTATGGTCAAGAACATCATATTATAACTTTAAGAATCTTACAAAACAATCATGTGATACCCCACCAACCCCTACAGCATATCATAGAATCATAATGAAAGTAAGATTGCCACCTTTCATTTGTTGATCGAGTTCAATTTTTATAAACATAAAAGGGATAGCAATAAACATTTAAATCCTAAATTGTCCTGCCATTTATCGATTTTGACACCTGAGTGCGCATTGTTCTTGTTGTTGTTTTATTGATAAGAGAACATTTAAACAACAACATTCGATAAGATTTGAAACTCGGAGAACTCTTCTCATGAACTCATTCCTTATTAAATGAAATCATTTGTTTACTCATATGACATCGGTTTGTTAACCGGAACTTTTTAATCCTTGGATAAAATTATTATCCATGACTAATATCATCATAGATCCTATAGCATGGCTATATTAGACCAAATATCCAATTCTGAGTCACACTTACTCTGCAAATGTGTGTCTAATGAACGAAATGACGGGATATGGAGCTCATATAAAACGTCGGTCACTTGTACACGTTAGTTAGTATGGTCAAAGACCAGAAATAGACTTTAGATCGTTTTCTTCTTTCTTATTTCTTGATCGAATTATTGGTGAAGTTGACGAGAGAGAGATAGAATGAGAACATGTTGCAGCTTAGACTATAAGAGTAGAAGAGAAAATATTGCAGAGAAACATAGAGGAACAACTCTTTTCTTCTTCATATCTTGTTCTCCGCTTGTTCTTCTTTCCTTTTGTAAATTATCAGCCGGAAGTTGTCTTTAGAAGTCTCCTGACGTATTGACGGTATTTCGAACGGTTGATTCAAGCCATTCTCACATTCCGATAGTGTATTGTTGATTCCCTCTCCATATTTCGTAGTTTATCTGCTTAAAATCGCATAGAGAACTTATATGATGCATTGTTCGTACTTCTACAATCCTTTCTTGCAGTTTTTGCAATCAAAGGAGACGTGATTGCATATTGGCGAATCGGTGAACAAAAAGAGGATTTCAACCTAACAGCTTCATCCAAGATTCTCCTGTGCAAATCTCAAGTCAACTTTTTCGAAACCCGTTTAGAAGATGTACATTATGCCTTCTCTCTTTGCATCTCATTACAGTCCGTTATTCAGTCTCTAAACGTTTTCAACTTTCTCGTTTTTTTGTAATTTCCGTTCAAAATTTCGAAACGTTTCCTTTCTGTTTTTGTTGTTCCGATTGTACCGGAAATCACGAACCAGTAATGACCGACCTGTTAACTTCTAGATTAACTGTGTAGTTCAATCATGGGTTTGTTCTTGATCACTGAATCTTTTTTTTTAAATTTTTGAAAGAAATTTTGGACTCAGCCGTGGGTTATATCAAAACAAGAATTTTCCAGTTTTCTAGCTCTAATAACTACGAAACAAAGTGACAAGAATTTGTAATTTGAGATAGATAGCTGTGCGAAGTGCTGCAAAATTGCCTTCAATCCATGTCAATTACTTGTTGTCAAACGTGACCAATTACAGTAATCCGTTTGTGTTTCATTTCATCTGGAGCACTTTTCTCATCATCGTAATATGACGATAAGAGTTAGAATCAGAGACAGAAAGAAAATCATCGCCATGCCCCTCACTATAATCGCCCTCTATGTTGATGTCAATACTCAACAAAATGCTTGTGTATGTATGTGTGGGTGCCACAAAATATTCTTATTCATTCAGCTTTTTTTTTGAATAATTCATTTTAAACTGATTCTCTATTTTTATATTTACTGTTATAGGTATGATAAAGTAACGATGAATGAACTGCTAGAGTACGAGCTGAATGCTACTACGATGGACTTCGAGAGTCCGAGTACTACCGAAACTATAAACTCAATCTCAACTTTCGATTCATATACAACAACAGAAGCAGCTTCCCAAGATTGTTTTAATGATCAAGCTTTTTTAATTTTTATGTACACGGTGAGTTAATTAGCATACACGTACAACCGTTACCTACGCGCGTCTTTTGTCATTTTGAATTAGCTCGAGAGCGTGGATCGGTTGTATCTCACATCTTCCTGCTTTATACTCTTCTGATTATTCTCTTCTTCCAGACAGATGATCTCCTTCTGGCAGCCTCGATGGCTGCTACTGTATTCAATGTGATGGTTATTTTTTGTGCCGTAAAGTTATTCAAAAGGAGTGGAGATACAATGCATTTGTTTATTTTGAACATGACTGTAGGAGATTTGATATTAACTGGTAGTTTGAAATAATTGACTTAATTTAATTTTCATTTCAGTTTTTTGTCATCCTAATGAGTTACTAATAAGAAAACACGATTTCTTACAACAAATTCATTTGTGCGCTGTAGTTCATTATTTCAATTGGATTGGTCTTGCCGTTTCCGGTCTATCACTTACCATGTTAAATGTAGATAAAGTAAGTTCCAATTTAGAGCAGATATAATCGTTTATCAGTTGATATACTTCCGCTGGCCATTAAACTATGATCGATCTATGTCCAAAAGGCGAGCAGCTCTCTTTTGCCTCTTAATTTGGAGTCTGTCAGTTGGGTAACATCGAATTATCAGAAATCGATCAAGTGTTGACTTTCAGTTTTGTAACGTACTGTTGGGCTTTTGACATTGTTTATATTTATGAGTTCGACTGCTCCCTCCAGGTTGTTTCACCGGGATCAATCAATAACATAGCTTGTTACAGATGTCTAGAGGGAAAAAGTTCTATTATGAAATATTTTTGATCCTTTTCTGTGTGTTACCGGTTACCTCATCACTAATTGTTTCTATTTACCTCTTTAATTTAACAAGACAAAAACGAAATTCCAGTTCAGATGGACATACCAATGCTTTCAAAACAAAGGTAGTTACTAGCATATATCGGAAAGTATAGCTTTGATTAAGGTCAAATCAATGGTTTTCATCTTTGCTACTACTGCTTGGACATCATGCAGTTTACTACCATATCGAATTATGAATTTAGCAAGGATTCATTTGTTTGCGTATGCTCGCTTTTTTCATTTTTTCATTCATTTATGTGTTTTAGATGGTCTGAACTAACTTGTGAAGGCAAGCAAGCAGTGAACTGGGTTGCTTGGATTCTAGTTTATCTTTTAACTATAAATCCCGTATAAGCATATCGGCTAATACAGCACATTGATTCATTTTTTTAGATTGTCAATCCGGTCATTACAGCATTGATCTATGCGCCTTATCGATTAACTATCAAGAAATTCCTAGTTAACATTCCGGTAGGTAACAGGCCTATCTATAGCTATCAAGGAGATAATCTTCATTCTGACAGCAGGTATGAAGTCCACTTGTTCTATTCTTATTTCTCTCATTCAAGTTTCGTGTCTGTCCGTCGTGGCCGGAATAGAAGGTCTTCTTCTACTGAATTAGCCAGTTTACGCCAGTCAACAGAAGTGGTAAATCAATAGACAGATTATATGATTTAATATTTACCCGAAGGTGAGGATGTCAATGAGTGATAGCCCATGGACTCCAGCAAAAAGTCCAGGAACTAAAACGGAAGAAGAATTTGCCTTTGACAAAGAAAAGGTGAAAATAGTGATGGAGCCAGCTTCAGCGGATAATTCAGAAGACAATGATATTGAGAAATCAGCTCAATAACCTTGAATCTTAAGAATTTGTTTCGGGATCTGTGTATATGCGTGTTTGTTGTGTAAGTCCGCGCTGTTCTTGTGCCTATGAGTCTTGTCTATGAGGGCAGCATTCGTAGACGTGTTAAAAACTGAAAACAATGTGAATACTTATTAGGTTGATATTCCTAACTGAGACTACTAGAGCTACTTCTTGTCAAATAACTGCTGCTTTATCTTCCACAGAGCTTGAATTTTCCTTTATTAACTCCAACAGTACCAAAGCTTTAAATTGTCCTGATCTGTTCACCCAATCATGTCATTTCCTTTATGATAAAGGATGAAAAAGATAATCAACGAAGTTATATTCTCTTTTTAAAATTCAAATAGGTCAAACAATGAAAAACAATAAGACAACAGTCTTACATAATGAAAGTTATTCTTTTCATTTTGGTCTTCTTCAGAGATCTGATATTATTAAAACTTCTTGTGAAACATAAAACTCTTCTACAAAAGTATGTGAAATGCCATTCCCGTATGTACTAATGAACTAAACAAATATATTTTTGATTCACAGATGAATGAAAGCTTCAGTTCACTTGGCTCAAAACTCATCAGCCGATGGTTCGGAAGACTAACATTAACGTGTTCCTCTCAAGGAACAGCATCAATGTCATCCTCATCGGCTAATAAGGGGGAAGATTCTAAACATAGATTGCTATGTTGTTGAGATCTGAAACAAAAATGAACATTCTTTAGCTGCCAAGTAGTGATTCGAATACCGTGCGGTGAACATTTCTAGAGTTTCCGTACTTGCTAAACTATTCTTCATCGTGGATATATCATATTGAGGTCCACGGGTCTCCGACATTTGTCTTTGCTTCAAAGCGCTATAATTAATTTTGAAACAGGAGAACTAGTCTAACAAACAAACTGAAGCAACGGATTCCCTGTACCAACCCCGTCGAAACGAGCGTTAGCGCTATGTGGAGGCGAGTGACTGTTTCGAATCTCTCCGACCGGGGCTCCTCGCTGCCTCCTATCTGTTAACAGCATTTCGATAACGAGATCCATTTTCTTATCCAGTTTATCAACCTAAAGAAATAGTTATTCATGCCAAACATAACTCGAGTCAGTCAGAAGCCGACAAACGTACCTGTCGTTCGATATGGCTAACACGGTGAACAACAGAAACTTTAGCATCGTTTTTGTCAACGGTTTTCCCTACTAGAATGTCCAGTCTGAAGTTATTTGATATGGATTCTTCAAAATCCGTCGTTCTTACCGCTGTTGGACAGTTTTGACTCGAGATTGTAAGTCGACGTGTCCAGCAGAATACTGTTCAATAACATCTTTAACGTCATAAGGCTTCAAAGCTTCTTTGAACTTCCTCCGGGCGACGAGCAACTGAATGCGTCGTATAGCACGAATAACATTTTTCAAAACAGGAGTATATTCTTCTAATGTTCGTGGTTGAAGAGATTGTATTTCTTCATCTGAATTGATATGGATATAGACATATGTAACGGAAAACAGAGAGAAATGAATTAAATGTGAATTTCATAAAACAAAGCAGAAATTATAGAAGATTGTGAGTATGTATAGAAAAGTCCAAGTTAGTATTAACATGCTTCATTGAATCAAATCAAATCTCCCGGCATTGAACCATACTTCATGACAAAACTGAGATATGGAAAAATGACAAAAGTGCACAAACAATAGAAGTACAGTCGGAACGCCATGCAACGTGCTCTAATATTGCAAGATTGTTAAGCATTGTTTATAGGTATAAGCCATGACAGGGAACGCAAATCGGCCTGTATATAGGAGGAAAGTTAAAATACGATTCATAATAACCTGTTCAAGTGTAGTGCTTACGAAATATGCAGATGTGTAAAAGAAAAAACGTCTAAATATTCCAGGTATGCTCGGAATTGCTAACTTAAGCTTGAAGTTCTTTCAAACATCACAAAACTGGGAAAAAACTTAGACAAATCGTTCAAAAGATGTTTGAAGATATCATCTTTTCGAAGGCTATAGAAAACAGACAAAATCGGCGCGATATTGTGAAAATTGGAAAGGGTAGAGCAGAGATAGAGAGATGAGCCCACCGTCTGAATCGTCAATGGATTTTCGTGGTGCACACGTTGTCAAATGACTCCACATTCCATCCTCCAATTGTGATGTGTTCCGTTTTCTCATTTGTTCGCACCATTGGTAAAGAGGAGCCATCATCAATGAATAGTCGTGTAACACCTCAGTATCGTCGCTATCGGCTGCTAGATAACGACAGAGTGATAGAGATCGTCGCCCTCTTGATTGTCGTTGCTCTGGAGCAAATCAAGTGCCCGTCAAAGGACCAAAAAGAGAAGGAGAGGAAGTGGGAATTCGCAAAAAAATGCATGAGAATATTCAACCGTTCTGTGCGTCGACAATAGAGATGAGGAAGTGAGTTAATGAACAAGCGCGCGTGTTAACACTGATTCGCTGAAAAGCTGGAGACCAGAAGTGTCAATAGCTAATGTGAGTAAGCTTATTCATCCGTTATTACATGGATAGAATTGGGACGGCTATGATGTCATGGTAAGCATGGATCAGAGCAACCTATTTGTAAACAATTAGAGAGAAACAAATTAGTACTAGTGGTTAGATACATGTTTCACTTCAAACAGGTGAGAAGCTGACAAATGTTGTAAAACATGGATCATACTCATACTTCATGCATTTTTATAATAAAAAAATCGAATAAGTACAAAACCGCTGAAGAATCTCAATATTCAACTAATCGTACGTACATTTAGCTAACTTATGATAAAAGAAGAGAGAAATAAGAGAATAACTGAATGTTGAAAGAATATCAAAAATCTTCTAAAAGTATCCCAAGCCAATAAGTGTTAGGTTATAGGTTGAACCCCACCCAAATTGCTGACAACTTTTTTGTCTTTTTAAATGTAAAATTATTTACCTAAATCCATATTTCCTAAGCTATTGCTATTGGTGATTCTCGAATGTAAAGCTGCATCATCTGCAGATTTCCGGTTTGTTTTACTACTTTTTGATCGCCAGTTTCCTATAGTTTGATAAAATTGATTTAATGAAATAAGTTCATTCAAATCGAAACCTAAGGAGAATCCCAAAGCACCGAGAGATTCCAGTTCCGATATATCAGAAGTTGAGACTATGCTGAAATGTTGATCGATATAAAGTGGTAATATGGCTTTCTAGAACCTGATATTATCATGGGGACGAGGAACCAAAAGTGATTTCCCTGAATGAGCAGTTAGACTATTTCCGGTTGGTGTCCCAGTACCCGTAACTTCTGAAAAAGTGGATTAAGTATACAAAAAAAAGCTGAACTATACCAATTTCAGGACCATTATTATTGTTCAAACGACGCTTCGTACTTTGCCTTAACCGGCTAATTAAACTATTTTGATTTCCATTTGGAGTTTGCTTGACACTGAAAGTATTGTGTTTGAATTTTTTTTCAAATGATGTTCTCGTAAAGTTCAAGGTACATAGAGGGTGAGATGAGGTGACTCAAATTCAAATAAAAAAAAGGTAGACCCGGAAGTGAGGAGTGGCACGTGTTGCCGAACATAAAATATCTTCATAACTTCTCGAATGACATCGAAAAGGCAGGAAAAGGTACAAATATGTAGATGAAAGACCTCGGAGGTATGGATGACGGACGTCGTGCTCCATTGCGAATTCGATTACCGGGTCCTTTAGAGAACCAACGCAGTGAAAGTGATCTTTTGGCATGTGGGAATAGACTACTTGTAAAGAACTTTGTCGGGATTCCCTCATTAATTCTATAGATTGTAAATGAGTTTATATCCAGTTTAATTGAAATTCCCGAAGTATGAGATAAGTCAAGTGAAAACTATTTTCAGAAAACCATATTAAACTTACTGTGGCATGGGGCTGACTGAAGGAGCTAAATGCACTTTCCATGTAGCTAGTGAGCAACTTTCTGGAGCAGCAGAGTAATGACGCCAAAGACATTGGATTAGTCTCGCAGCTGGCACTCTACGACGAATGAGGTGTTTCTGACGTTGGTGCTGTTGAACTTTTAGAGCAAAACCTGATCCGAGAATACCCTGAACCAAATGATTAATTGATAATAGAAAGTTAAAAAGAACCAACCGCTGGTAAAGCGAAAAATGAAATTCCAAGTAAGGCACAGAAAGCAGCAATTATCTTGCCTGGCCATGTTTCAGGTGTTTTATCACCATATCCTACGGTGGACAACGTAATCTGAAAACAGCAGTATGAAATGTGATTTTATTGATTGAGTGTTAGTTGGTTCTCGAAAACGTCAAATTAGCATATTGAATGACTGATCCACGTTTTATGCTAATATCTCATTATCACGGATATCATAGCAGCTTGATTCTATTCGTACATTGAATAGTTGTAGTAGAATGAGGAAGAAAAAGAAAGCACAACCGTTCCATGCGAATGCACAAGTCACAATGAATCAGTTCACGAAGCGAAATGTAATTTTGAGGAAAAAATGGTTTTAGATCTAAGAATAATCAAAATGATGGAATGCATTCAGAGGTCCTAAGTTCATCAATAATATATCCATATTTATATAAATATAAGATGCGAAGGACTTTCAATGAATTATTAACAAAATAAAAAAAGTAAGTCCTTACCACACCCCACCATAGCGCGTCGGCGAATGTTGAATACTTGTCATTTGTGTTCTTCTCACACAAATAAACTAGGAAAGAAGAAAATATGAGGCCGAGAAAGCCGATATATACTGTTGTTAAAAGCTCCTGAAATAGAATTGTCAAGACTATATATATATAAGAGCATTGTACTTGACGATGTGCCCACACAACCGAACCCAACAATTTCCATGTTCCAGCTCGACGATCAATTCGGAGCATACGCAAAATTTGAAAAAATCGTAATCCCCGTATAGCTGAGGCTGCGAAAACCTGAAAAACAGATTCTGCTGAGCTAGAAGATAGAGATGAGTGTTACTTGACCAGTCGCCCCTATACATAACACCGTAATGGAAGCCAATATCACAATTATATCTTAAAGAGTAAGATATGGGCAGCGAAAAAGTGTCTGAACAAACCAATGACACAATATGCACTTGTAGCAAATCGTATACGTCCGGATAAGCCTCTATACCTAGAGCGACAGCCTGCTGACCATACTCTACAGATATATTCAACAGCTAACCATATGACAAAAATTATTTCCTGAATGATTAACATCCGATTTTTAGTGTAAAATGCTCATTTACTAGCCAATAAAGAACCAATGTGGCTTCATGTTCAAAATCAGGCATAGTTGAAAAGACTGAGAGAGCAAGGCACATAAGAACCATAACAAGACTGCAATAAACTAATTGAAACACTTGCATCTAAGATCGAGCTTACACTGCCAAATGATAACTGGCTGCTTTCCATCCTCTTGGCCTTTCTAGGAAGTTATGCATTTTACTTTGTATTCTGCGGAAGCGTTGGTCAGTGCGGTAATTTTTGTAAGCCAAAGGCTTACCAACCAAAGACATTTTGCGTTCTCTGCCGTTATTCTGGAATGAAAGATGTTTCAATGAGAAAACGAAGAAAGAAATATGCCTGAATAACTCACAAAGTCTATAAAGAACATAATGTCTGTTGTTTTATAGTTCAGGCTTTATCAAAAAAGTAAATAAAATGAGGAAAATTTGTGAAAATAACGAGATGAATTAGATCTAGATGCCGATCAGATGTGAGTTGCCTGAGGGAATAATGTATTTCAGATAGAGTTGATTGCTTGAAATCTACATCGGAAGTTTTCAATCAGCTTGCAGATCGTGTAAAGATTTTCGTGAGACTTCAGAAGACAACGGACGAACCTTCGACTATTCTCTACAAGAATCTCACAACAGATGTGAGCTGACAATGTTGAATGAACCATAGAATGTCTCGCCTTTCTTATTCCCCTCTTCTTGTTTCATAGTGTTTCCATCTCTTTCACTCTCTGTTGCCTTGGAAAAGAGAATGAAGCAACAGTTAGAAGAGGCGGAGTTTTAACAAATTATAAATTGTGAAGTTTGAATTTTTACTAATGTTTCCAGGCATTTCATGGCAATTCATCTTGGAGTCTTCGAAGAATATCGTTCGTACACTTAATGTTTCATCAGATGTATTATTGAAGCTTCTTAGATCACCGCCTTCAGAACTAAAGTGAGAGAGAGAAAGATAGAATAGCAGAGAAAAAATAATGAGAGAGAGACAAAGTGTCAAAAAAAAAAGAAAAGTTTCAATGAAGCGGGAGGGAAGCGAGACGTGAAAGGAGGAAGAGAGAATGAGACCGGAAAGAGTACGAGTAGCATGAGTATGTCTTGACGAAGGTTCATGTGTGTGAAAAGATCTTTGCATTTCTAAATTAGGCTTTAGCACATGTGCATAAGCTTAGATGCTCACTTGAGATCATTTCAAGATATTTTGTTGAAACATCAGGTCTCGAGATAGAGTGAAAGGAAACCGTGAAAGGAAATAAGATATAGAAAGGAAAGAAAAGCATCAATGTGCCACCTGATGAGATTGATGTTGATTCAGAACAGATGTATGTATCTGGAGTAAGAGAAGCTTCTCCCAACAATGATATTGTTGATTGAAATTGAAGGAAAAAAAGAGAATGTATGTTCTTTGAGACATTGTGTGAGTCATAAAAGGGCAAATGTCTCGAAACAATGGCAAAGTTAATTAATAATAGATTCTTCTCACTATACGCATAGTTAATTATTTAACAAACACTAATGTCATGCTTACCTGCGAAGAGTTGGTTAGCTTATCTCCTTCTACGTCACAATCTGAAGCATTGAGTTGAAAAAAGGGAAAAAACTAATGTTCTACCTGCAAGATTGTCTCGAAATGCGACTGTTTTCTGTTGTCGTTCCGTAGTCGGCTGTGGCGAACGGGAACTGGACCGAGAACGGCCATGCAATGAACTCCGCGACTGAATAAAAAAATAAAATTTATTTGTGAATAAGATGATATATTATGTTTTATTTTGAACAAAGAAGATGCAGAAGAAGAAGAGAGTATGAAGAGTGGTACAGTTGAACTTAATCTTCATATTATGCTAATTATATGTGTTAAAATATGGATGGAACTCTATAAAAATATAAAAGTGAGCAAGAAGAAAGGAAGAAGTTTGATTTGAAAAATATTTTGGTTTTTCTTTTTTATTTTTAGTAATGAAGGCAATATGGCTGTATGTTTCAGAAATTAGAATATTGCTTCACGTAATTTCGAAGCTGATTTTCACGTAAATCATTTCATATTTTTGGTTATGACGCGAATGGTTGGATGAGAAGAAATGAAAAATGCGGAGAACTACTTGTTGTGATGGGCTTTCTCTTCTAATTTATTAAAGAGGGAAAAGAAGGAATGAGAGAGAGGAGAAAGAGAGAGAGAGAAAGAGAGAGAGAAAGGCAAGGAAAAGGAAGAGATTTTCTGGACAACACAACAATAGTTGGCATCATTTTACTATAAAAATTAATATGAAGTATTGTTCATTTGAATGGAAATCTCATAAAAGGATTCAGACACTAACATTCAAAGATATTTTCTTAGTCGAGATATGTATTAGAGGTTATAATATGAAAAAAGTAAAGTTCTGAATGGGAGATGAAGTCTTATGAAGCAGGCGGATTTGTGATAACTCTTGAGCGCTGTGGTCAACATGATCAACAGAAACCGTCAGGAAGAAGAAGAAGAAGAACCTGAAGCTGAATTAATAGAAAAGACAACGGATGGGAATAAGTCGAAATTTCCGATGTCAAATTTGTGATGAATATGACGATGGCAATAAGAGAAGAGGGAGAGAAGCGACAAGAGGTGAAGTAAATTCCACTTATAACACACAAGAGATTTCCGACAAAGTCAGCTTGTGCCTAAAGAGAGAGAGAAAGCCTTTTAAAGGAAAACTTTATAGAACAATTTGAAAGATTCGTAAAAATCAAAAAGTGAGTGGTGAAGGACAGATATATCAGAAAATGGAGCATTTTGATGCCCAATTGAATTAGGTTGAGATAGGATGACGAAGTGAAGCAGAAGATGTCGTTGAGTAAGTCATGTATGAGGATATCTAGTTACTCGGCTAAGACAAGACATCTTTATTTTCCATTTTGGCTATGAAAACTATTCTTCTTTCAAATATGAAAAATCATGTCAACGAGAAAAGAGTGTGTAAGAGCAAGATGAATACAGATGGATGTTGTCTCGAAAGGAAGATGTGAAAATCTGGAAACATTCAGATGTTTTATGGTATGAACGTCAAAGCCATCTCATTTTTCATGTCTTCAGGATGTTCTCTTGCACTCAACGATTTGTCCTTACACTCTCTCTCACTCCCTCTCTCTATGACAACCTCTCTCTCTCCCTCTCTCTCTCTCTTCGTCACTCTCCTTTACTCTCTTTATTACATTCACTTTGTTTGAATTTTAAGTATTTGATTATATCAAATAACCAAATTTAGATAAAAGCAACTGAATACTTACAAGATCAAGCAAAAGACATCAACGAAATATAAAATTTTCCATTTAAAAAGGTCAATAAGCAAAAAGTCTTGGAACGAAAATGAAATTACCGTATGCGGATAATTACACATATAAATTTGATTGTTAACTACTCGTATATTGGATAAAAAATGTGAATGGTTCCATTGTGCAGCTGATAATTTATAAAATTATTTAATAATACATATGCGCATAAGGTAAATTATATTATAAATCTTCAATCGTAATAAGGAATATGCTATGACAGTTTCTTCCTTTTAATTTTCCTCTCTCACATTGGAGCTAGCACTCAGAGAGGGAGAGAGAGAGATACAGAGGGAGGGAAACCTTCAAGAAGCCATAAAAGCTTATTGGACGTGAGAGACGCACGTCACAGCCGTTCATGATATATATTTATAGAAATGCGGATAAATTTGAATAAAATAACTGCGAAAGATACTATTTCCTCTAGAATACCTTTTACGGGGAGAGAGAGTGACAATGAAAATGAAAAAGCAAAGGAAAGCATGTGCGAGAGAAGCTGTGAGCATGAGGCTCACGGCAGATGATGTAGAGGATGATGTTGATGGAATACTATGCAAATAGTAACAGGAATAGTTAATGAATCGATCAACTTATATATAGTTAGTACATACCACACCAAAAAAGACAAGTAATGCGGGAGAATTGTAAGGTTGTATAGTTAATACTAATCTTTCAATGGATATTTATCGCTACGAGATAAGCTGATCAGTCAAATATCAACAAAAAATCTTTTTTTTTTGTTTTCAAAGAGGAAAAACTTACATTCTGCACATGTTTCATTGTAGTATTAAGATGGAAAAGGAGGAAGAGCCATTATGGACCTGTATGGTATGGGTTGAATGCAAAACATTCTTCCATCATTCAAAAGTTTCTTTTTTGACTGCTCCGCCTCCAAATCCGGGCTAGATGTGGTCTTTTGACAATTAAAATGTTAACAGAGAGAAAGAGTGAGAGTGTGAACTGCAAAAATGATTAAGAGATTCGGAAGAGACGAGAGAGAGAAAAGGAAGAGAATGTACCGTTCAAGGTTTTCAGGAAAGAGATGCGAGAGATGAAAGAGGTTCAATTGTATCTTAGAAATCTATGGGCAAAGATTAAACGAAAATCTTAACAGCATTGATTAGAGGGTGCGAAGAGAAGGGAAAATCAATGAAAGTTGAGAAGAAGCTTCTCACCTTATGAGAATTAGAATGAAGTCAAGAAAAGGAATGAAGGACCAGATGGATGGACAAGTAACGACGTTGGGCTCTGTCGTCGGCTGCAATAAGCTTCAGACAGGTGCAAGCCACGTGAATAGAATTGTAATTATCTTTGTAAAAAGATTTTCTTTTTCCTATGATCTATGAGTAAACAGTTTTTGAAGTTCTAATATTCCCTGAATAAGGAGAGAACTGCCCACTGGCTATGATTCGTAAAGTTTTTTGTTAGAACAAGTATATTGAATGTGATTTTCCCACTAATTGAGAATGGAATTTCCCAAAAAGTAGATGAAAAATATATTTTTTTCATAAAGATAGATGAAAATGATCAACTAAATGATAGCAAGTGTCTCTATTTAGCAATGAAATATATGCCTTCGGGCGCTTTCCGAGAGATTTCAAGAGATTTCAGAGGATTTCTAGCGTTATTGAGAGATTAGCAATGTTTTTTTTGATATTCGAAGGTGTGGTTGAATGGACAAGTTGTGTTAATGAATTTCTATATGATATTGGTGAAGGAATGTTAAGAGGCAGAGAAATTATATGGGAAATGATCAGTTAGAGGGAGAGAATGTAGAGAAAGAGAGAGAGAGAGAGGGAAATAGAGAGAGATACATGTAAAGAGGCATAGAGAAGACGACTACGAAATGAAATATCCAAAATTGTACTGATATTCAAATAGAAAATGGATATAAAATTGATTAGCCATGTTCGAGTTGAACGCAGAGGTGTTAGGAAGGAAAGGCATGCTCACAACGTTTTCTTCGTCTATCACTCTCGCACTCTCCACCCCTTCCACACTATCTCTATAGCGTGTTTACGTGACTCTCACGTGAGTTCATTCAAAAAAGTTATTTAATGAATGGCAGACGCGAGGAGTGGTTGTGTTCATGAAGAATAGGAATAATGATGAGGATTTTTGAATATTTAATAATTAAATAATGAAAAGGCTAATTATAGAAGTATTCCATGAGTATTCAATGGACACAATTGTTTTTTCAACTAGAGCGTTTGAACTTTTTTCACAGAAGATCGAGCATTCGAGAAAGAAAGACATCAATTGCTAGTTAACTATACATGAAATATGGGTCTCGACGAAGATGTACGTATGCATATCGTTAACTATATGTTATTCTAATTGGAAAAAAGTTCAGCGTACAAATAAACGTGAATTCTCCTTTTGTATTTGAAGGAAAAGCAAATGTGTACGGGAACTGTTCATCTCTTCAACTCACTCTGTTGCTTATCATTTCGCCCACAACCACAGAAATTGATCTTCCGGCTGGCTTCTTATGGTCCGCCGGCTCTACAATCCAATTGAATTCACCGCCTTAAAAGAACTAAGTAATTTGCATGTTTAGTCTCATTCCCAATTATTCTGAATTACGATTGCAGCGTGAGCACGTGTTCTTGCACGTGAAGTTTGCAATAAGCTGGAGTTATGAAATTTTAAAAAGAGAATTCATTATTTACAAAGAAAGAAGTCTATTGAGTGGGATGGGGAAGTGCTCTGAAATGATTTCCGGTCTATTTATTAAAGTTTGAATTATATTTATAGTTTAGAAAGCAAAGCAATTATGGATAATGTGAAAAATATAAAGAAAAAAAGAAAGTGTTAATCAATTCCGAGAAACGTGAAAGCACACCTGGATAGAGTGGTGTCTGGTAATCCTCGTAAGAGCCATCGTTGTCGGTTGTGAGCTCCTCTTCTTCCTCCTCTTCCTCATCTGCGAAATTCCATTGGAGTTTTAATGAGTTTTCATTTGTCATCTGAATATTATATAATCGAGCTTATATGAAGTATATAGAAGATGATGAGCAATTGTACTTCATCGTTAAGAGTAAGAAGATGAAGTGGTTGAAACATCGACGACGGAAGGAGGAAATACTCTAATTAAGCTGCTTATTTTCGACGTCGTTCACCTGGTTCAAAGACAAATAAAAGACCTTTGAAGAGGATTATGCGAGGATCATAAGGCTGAATATCACAAAATGAAACGTGAAAATCAGAAATTAGTCACCGTCCAGCATTCGGAATTTCCCTCTTCTCTCTTCTCACTCTCTCTGTCTCTACTTCTCTTGCTCTTTGTTATGTAGAATAGACTGTCTCGAGAAATGAAAGCGTGGGAGAATGGAAGGAGAAAAGATAATAAACAAACGTTGAAAATTCGAATTTCAAAGAGGAACAAATGAACGTTTCAGAGAGATGAAACCTCTTTTAAAGATTGTCAATAAATCTTATTTCAATGAAGAAATTCTGGAACAAAATTATAATGAATGAGAAGCATGGACATATATGTTGATTGAGAACTTAGTTCGAAACGAGTAGTCTGTCCTATTTCTTGGGAAAGTAAGTTAATAAATTAAGAATAATCTCTGACAACGGATAGAAAAGGGAAAATATTTGTCAAAAAATTAAAATGTAACATGTAAATTACAAGAGAGAGAGAAGTAATTTTGAAAATTAAAAAGCCAAATCTTTTCAAAATGGATTGTAGCGGGTGGGGTAATGAATGGAGAGCAGTGGCATGGCAGAAGCCCGGAGTCTTGGCTGTAGAGGCAGGCTTCTGGATCATTCTTCAAACATTATTGATAAAAAAAAGATATTAACGTTAATATGACATTAGGACATGAGAAAGTGGCTTTAGAAGAGAATATTTGAAAAGAACATGAAATTTCAATATTTGACCAGCTTGTCTGTGGGATGAATGTGAGGATTCAATTCGTTTTTATTGTTTTTTCTTTTGGCGATAATTAAAGAAATCTTTTGAGGTAAAATTGCAAATCTAATCTGAGAAATTGAAAAATCTCTTGTTAAAGCACTCATTTGGAGCATTTTTAATTGAAAAGTTTCAGGCTGAAGAGATTAATTGCCAAGCGTAACGTTGAATATGAGCTATCAGAAAGTCAAATGATTTCATTCGTCTGGCTATCCCAGAACAGATTTTTCGATGAATAAGTTCGTCAATTGCATTAAGAAAGCTTTCAAATCTCCCTACTCTTTCGTTCGTTACCTGTTAATCTTTGAAATGCAATCGTGAATTGAGCTTCTCTTGAGCTGGAATCGATCATTTCACTGATTTTCATGCAAATCTCACGTGTGTCGTATCAGAAAAAAATATTTTTCATAAAACTTTTATTTTTATAGAAATTTGGTAGGAAACTATTGAAATTATCCAATTATATACAAATCTTGACCAGTAATAACAAATTCGAATCAACGGATAACGCGAGGAAAATAATTTTCACAGGATTGTCTCTTTCCGAGAAACTGTTTCAGGACGGAAAAAAGCTGTGATCAAACCTTCACTCACAAATAAGCCACAAGAAAGCAGAGAGAATATCTGAAGAGAGAACAGATGAAATTAATCTCAGGAACTGTGTGAAAGTTACCCCTGCAAGAGCCCATCCATTGATTGCACATTGAGCACTCATATCAGAAACAGAAAACCTCAGATAATATTCATCGACCCAGGGACAAGTGCTGTAATGCATTTCCAACCCGAAAACGAACAACGAGAATGGGACAGCCCCAAACGAATAGCACATGCTCTATAAACAAGATAAGTAAATGAAAATGAAGGTGAACTGAGTATTGTGTTCATTTGCCAACACCTGTTATTATGGTGCGAAGATGTAATTAAAAATAATTGTATGATAACTTACTGTTATCCGAGAGGAAGGTGAACGACATAAATGGAAAATCTGGAGACCTGTCGTTGAAATCAGCAATGAAACAGAAATTGCGGCTGCCAGATACTGTCCATTCAATTGCATTAAATTGAAAGTATCTGGCAAATCAGATGGAAATGATTCAAACGTCCATTTATCGGCAGTTAATAATAGATCCTACAAAGATAAATCCCTTTTACTATAATGTATACTATGTTACTCTATAGCCGCTATCCCGTGGCTCTTGGTATTTTCCAAATCCAGTGAAAATCAGTATATTGATAAGAATTAACAGAATCTATAATAGTCAATCAAAGCTTCTTTCTTTTTTAAATCCTTCTAAGTTTTTTTCCAGGAACTAACAGGAAAACAACTCACTTACCATGTTAGCCATTCGAAGAGATAGCGTGATTTTGCCACCGGAAATGTCCGTTTGACGGCGGCTATCGACTTCAGATTCCAATGCCTTAACATTAGTTTTTGTTTTCATACAAACAATTTCAAAAAATACAAAAGCGGACTGGAAGACATACCTGGGCTACTAGTATAAGACGATTCAAAGTTCCTGTTGAAACTTTGCGATCTTTCTCCTTCATGTATTTTGCTGTAACAATAGCGACATCCTGAAAAAAATGTTATTTTCACAAAGCTTAAGCAGTTTCTTTCATTTCATCTCATTCCCTGTTTATGGCTTCAAATGTATATAAAACGTTCTTTTAATTACGTTAATTCTACAAGCTTCAATTAGAACATGAGCTTATCGGTTGATATTCGAATTTTTTTTTTGGCGCCCAAACGCATAGCATGAACTTCATTTTAATTGGAGCAAACGCAGAGCACGGTTGTATTACAAATTCATTCTCTCATTTTTCATCTTCCAGTCCGTATATGTTCGAGGTCGTCTAACGATGTATTCTTTCTACCGATGGTCGAAATAAAACAGTTTTTTTTCTAATTTATGTTGAAAGTATGAGAGAATAGGGGCAGAAGGTTCTGACGAGCAGGTTTGAGGTCGGAGAACTATACATTTGACAGATGTTTCCAACCATAATTAGTGTACATTACGTGAATAAAAAATAAGCTCAAAGGTCGGAAGCTTAATATGGAGAAGACGAATTGGCGCTTTTGATTGAAATTATTGGATATAAATGAGGAAAACAATTTGAGGTAGGTGAGGTCATCTTAATCCACTCTTTTCTCGCATACTCATACGATTAAGCCGATAAAGTAAGAAGGATTGGGTGTTAAGTCTCACTTTATTAGGTCATATTTGACAGTTCTCAATCATTCGGTTATTTTCCCCATTATATGGATAATGCGAAACGTCATAAATGACGTTATGAGAAGAGAAACGATCATTAACAATATTTATTTTACAAGGAGATATGGATTAATGAAGCTGCTTATTTGCAGGCTTAACAGCTTTTTCATAAAGCTTCGATTGCAAGAAAAGAAAGGTTTCTTCATTTCATTTCCTTCTTAACAAACCTTGCGAAGCTAGACATGACTCACTCACTCACTCTCTTGATTACTAAAAGCAACGAAATGCAAATTTCCAACTTACGGCAAATTCTTCAGTGCGATAAGACGACATTTTTGATTTTGTTTTTCCATTATTCGAAGAATTATCGCTGATGATAGACTCATCCGTATGATCAGAAGAAGCTGTGCCCATCTTCGAATACGTTAATGTCATATCCTAAAGATTAAACTTTACAAAGAAAAATAATTAAAAGATTATTGAAAACGTCAGATGCACACGTACAGGGTAAGAATGTAAGACTTTAAAATTTGAAGGAAATATTAGTTCCATTTTTCGAACAAATATTGCAACTGCTTCTGCAATTGAATAGGATTATCTCATGCAGACCATATGGGAACCTCCCTATCGTTTTCGTCCGTCATCTTATTCAATTCGTTTTTATTATTTCATCAACTATGCGTATAATTAAGACTAATTTACTACAAAAAAAAGAAAAAATATTATAATTTTATTGGAATGAGGAACACAAAGCGCGGATTTTGTGATTCTGTGTGAGTGGAACGATCGACTTATCCTCTTCATCACCAAAAGAACTGGGCCACGCCCACATACATATGTGACATGAAAAGAAGAAGAAGCCATACTCTCACGAATTGATACCATAATTTGGTCATTGATACTCAACAAACTCATCAATGCAATAGATATATGTCTTAATTGTCAAATTTGACACAATCGCGGAAAAAACAGAACGAAAATACATTTGGGGGGGGGGGGGGGGGTTTAAGTTTTTTTCGCCCCTGCGGAGAAAAACACAAAACGTAATTGGGGGGGGGGGGGGGGGGGGTTATTCAAGTTATTTCAGCTCTACTACTTACTATTCAACAGATATGCTAAATAAGAGACTAACATAAACTGCTTACATCTTAGTTGCCTATTAATGTCGACAGGTGGTAATTTCTGTTCTTTCAACAACCTAGTACGCTATTTGATTCCTATGTACGATTCAATAGTACTATTGAAACAATTGGTAATGGTCTCATGCGGAAGTTCAGCGGCTCGCAGCTCAAGAAGAACAGCGGAAGTTGTTGCCAGATGTGGATGGACTGACTACTTCTAGAGCTTCAGTCATAAATAAGTACAGAATCGTACTGAGAAAGTAAAAATTAAAAACTTTTTTCTCTGTGTAGGCAGCCGAATGAATGAGCAGATGTTGGATCATCTTCTCCCGAAAAAGGTAATTACGATCATAGCGTGAACTTGGAAGTACGTGAGTATGCTAATTATCAATTTTTAATTTAAGAAATGAGGAAATGACACATGATGTATATAATGAGGCATCTGAGACTATTAATTGGTTCAATTCTCTGTATATATAAGTGGAAGGTTTATTGAGAGCGAATGGTAATGGAAATCAAAACAAGAGTTCAATGGAAACCTACTTGCTACCATAGCTTGCTTCACTAGTGGTTAAGAAAGCTTTATTTACATCAGTTGATGAGACAGAACAAAAAAAATGAAAAGGTGTGGTAGGTTTCCGCTTGAATGCTTTGAACATCTGTCAAAGCTTTATACCTCCCCCTCGCGGTCAACGAATATCAGATAAGTGCGTCGAGTGCCTAACTCAAAAAGAAGGAGAAATCTATCAAATGCAATAGGTCATGTGATATGATTCGAGTCGTTAAACGCGAGCAGTTAAATTCCAACACAAAAACAATATAGATTTCAAGAAACCTTTCTCTAACTTATGAATTATAAACAAAACTGAGAAGAGTAAGTAGATTAACGCTGTGTTATTTGCCTTTTCTAATAGACAACAAGAGCTAGAAACATCCAATTTCTTTACAAATTAAGTTTCTGACATCATCACATTTGATTTAGCCTTTGATAAGATTTCTCAATGAAAATGCAAATGAATACTTTCATTGGCATTATCAACAAACAACTTTAATCTTAGAAAGCCTCACCAAAACGCTTTAATTTCCATTTCACTCATTAGCATATTCTACGCCGTGGAAAGAAAGACGCTTCTCTATCTCATTTTTCAACTCTAACGCACGAAGAGCGGTTGCGTTCCTACTACAAGTAAAAAGTGTTCTAAATTATATAATTTCAGCAAGAGCTTCACAATTCTCACCAAAAATAGAATATGCCAAAGATTTAGCAGAAATAATAATCAGTTTTGGAACAAGACGGCTAATTTTCGAATAATTCTTAACTAAGGGTTTAGCTTCAGAATTTTCCCTGCATCGTCATGAGACTCTAATCAGGTGCAGCAGACAAAAGAGATTAGCAACTAGCATGGATACAACTAGAACTAATCTCACGAGTTAACTAAATTCTCTGCCATTTACAATTACTACCGACTTTACTTCCAAACCATTGTTTTCAAGCCATTTATTCACAAATCTTTACAGACAACTATAACTTCATTTCAATTTTCATAGTTTAGTACTATCTAATATTTAAAAGAAAAAGTCATCATTTTCATAATTGATGCTCTTCTTTCCATATCTGAAAACAAGATATGGAGATATATGATAAACTGACTCTAATACCTTCTGGGTGGAATTGTATTGAGTTTTGGTACTCCACCAACGATTCCTGATTCAATTCCACATTCGTCAACTCCTCTAAGGATACGGAAGAATCCGTCTTCTCCAAAGTCAGTGTTCCAGCTGTTAGCAATACGCCAATATGGAATACCCTCATCAACTCCCCATCCAATAATCTTCACAGCATGTCCACCACCAAGCTTTCCGGCAGTATGCTTAAGTCATATGTGTTACTTCAAAGTTCAATCTCTCGAGATTCTTACGACATAAACACCTTCAGAATAGGCAAGGAAGTCTTCATAGACTTCGAAAGCAGCTTCAACTGGTCCATGAGTCATAATCTCTTTTTGGATAGCTTCAACGTTATCAGCAACTCCATAAGCACTACGTCCTAAAAAGTATTAATGATTAAATAAGATCAACAAACTCTCTAACCAAAGAACTTGTCCTCAGAATATGTTCTGTCGGTGTAGCCAGTCACACACTTTTTCTCACACTTTGGAGTAGGGTAAAGATCATGTTTGCATGGAGTGAAGTGATGCTTGGTAGAATGATGTTCACAAGGAGCGAAGGGATAAGGCTGGATAAACCGATATTGAAGGGGAATGAGGGTTAGAAATACCTTGCATCCTTCTTGGGCGGTGAAATTGGATCCAGTAACGATTCCATCCTTAACCCAGTATTTCCAGGCTGATAAAGGATCCCCTCCATTGCATCTAGAAAGATGGAATTTGAAAGGACAGGCAAGAACAAGAAGATAAGATTTGGTTAAGCATAAAATGCATATTGAGCGATAAGATATATTTTTGAAGTAGAAGAAATCATTCGATGTGATGTGATTGACATTGATGCTTGAGAGCTGGGTCATCAGTTATCTGATAAGCTCAAAACAACGGTTGATAACAAGCTCATTGATAGTCTTAAAGTGCGAAAATGTTTTGAGAAAAAACTGTACCCGAATCCACAGGAATGACAGCAAGAGAGAAGATCATCAGCTGATAAAGAAACTTGTATTTCCCCGTTGCTGGCAATACAAATACGGTCAGACATAGCTTCAACAGCTCCGAAAGCCCAGCATGATCCTGGAAAGTTCAGCATACAAAGAGTATGGAAATAATTCTCTACCACAGCTGCTTTGATCGCGGATTTGCTTGATAGATCCACAGTTTGGCCATTCCTCACGGGAATCGAATTGCTCTGGGATGGCAACATCTAAATCACGGGTCGCAGAAAGGTGTTGCTTAGCCTGAAATATTTTATAGGAAAGGTTTGCTGATCCTCAATTACTTTAACGGACAGCCTGACGTTGTTGACTCCCATCATACCATATCTAGCTCTCTCAGAGAGTTTAGAAAGACGACGGTTCTTCTTGGCCTGAAAACTTTCATAGATGGATGAACTGTAAAGCAGTCACATACTCTCCAGATATTTTGGTTTCTATTAACATAATCAATGAGTTCTTGTCCTTCGAGTTCTTCAGCTTCCTTAGAAATCACTCGATCACGATATTCGTCTGAAGAAGTGATATTCAAAACCGTTTTGAAACCAATAAATTACCCAAGACAGATGTTCTGACTGGAGGAACTCCTCTCTCAAACTCGACGGCCTCGCCATTTCTCTGGCGAGCGACTGTCACAGCCACAAGGACCAAAAGAAGACAAAGTGCTTGCTTCTTAATAGAAACCAGGTGTTAGAAAGCAAGTGAAGAAACTTACCAGCATTTGCCTGGACACAAAAGTTGCACTGGCTCCTTATCTTGTGACTCTAGGTCTTATAAACAACCGATCTTCTTATCAATCTTCCCGGGCTCAGAGTTGGGCCAGCTGCCAAGTTGTGGTCATCGCATGTTTCCCAGACGGAAAAGATCAAAAACATTACTGTAGCGATCAGCAGTTATGTGTTTTCACAAAAATCAGCTTTGTCACTCGTTTGAACTCGTAAAAAGCTATCCACATTTCTAAGTGGTGAGCAGTAAGGGTCGAAATCCTTTATCAGTCCGTAGAACTCTGTACCTGTCACATCATGATCTCTACCCTATCACAAACCAAAACAGCAAATGATCAAAAATAATTTATTAAAATTCTAAACATGAGTGAACAAAGGTTTCATTTTTTCTTATTTTTTTTATTTTTTTTATTCGATTTCCCAATGGATCTCTGCAGAACAGGGGCGGCAAGTTCGGATTTCTGCTGTTGCTTCTAAAAGAAAGATATGTATGTCTAAGAAAACTTGAAAAAGAATACATTTTCTTTACTGATTTCGATTGGACGAAGATTTTGTTGCGTTAAGAAGTTAATAACTTGATCTGATTTGACCGAAAAACCTATAGCTTCAGAGTTTATGCCGAGATCGAGGAGCATATCCTGAAGGCCGGGGATGGCATAACTGATCTGATTTTTGCAACTAGAATCAAATTGTTTCTTGAACCTTGTCTTTGAATCAACTTACTTTGTAATAAGCAAACTGATAGCGTTTCCAACTCCTGTTGGTACAAACACTTGGGAGTCGAGGAGCGTATACTTGATTAAACCTTTGCCTATATCATCAAAAATAGATTGCAATCCAACAAATACGTAATCAGTCTAACGAAAGTTCAGACATATATATCATGCATTCAGCAATTACCTTATATTCATGTCCCCGGGGTCCAGTAGTGGGAGGAGAATCTGAGATCACTGAAGGCAAAACTTCTTTTAGCCCATCTAATAAAGCATCTACATTAACGTTCTCCGTTGATTGTGTGTCGAATCGTAAAGAGACTTGTAAATATGGTAAGCCACTTTTTGAGTGTTTTGACATTCTGAAATTAACATAAACCTTTATTCAACAATTGAACTCTAGTACTCTGAATAAAATTGTCCGAGAGAGCTAGAGGACATTGCACTGTGTTTACAAAGCGTAAATCTTCAACTTTTCGTTCAAAATTAAAAAAAGTTGCCATTTCCCGAAGCTTTATCGATTTCTGAATCTATTTTTAACTTTATTCTTTAATTTACTTTGTTTTTATAATATTCAAATTAATTAAATGTTTTCAGGTAATAAGTTACCCTTTATCCAAAGTTTGTTCATAGGTCCGACTACAAGAAGGTGCCTGAGCAGGTCTGTGCTCACATGTCTTTTTTTCATTCTATTTTCTCATTCAGATATGGACAGGGACAATTTGATCCAAGCTCTTGATGCTTCAACTAGGCCAGATGACACCAAGAATGCTACCATATTTCTAGATCAGGTGTGTGTTTTTTTAAAGTTAGGGGTTTCAGTAAAATAATAATTTGTCCCAAATTTAACCGCCAGTCATCCCCTGCTCATGGACTATCTTCCAGCTTTGCGATGATCGGGAGCTAGATGGTGTTCGAACAAGAGCTAGGAGAGTACGTTCTACTGCATCAACGAGCGATGGGGCTGACTGGCGGAATTTATCCGTCCTTCTCTCCGATGATGTTCTGCCCCATGTGCAAGAAGATCCTGAAATTAAAGAAGCCCGCGTGAAGAAGCTCATGAACCGTTGGCGGAAGGCTGCTCGTCGAGCATATCGTACTAAAACTGATCCGTGGAGTAGTTTTCACATCGAAGAGTACCCTATACTACGTGCTAAGAGATCCAGATATTCAGCTATACGAAAGACCTGGACAGAAGATTATGTTGAAGTTCGTTTACATCCGGAACCTTTTGCTCATGGAGCTATGAGAGAATGCTTTCGTTTAAAGAAGCTCAGTAGCTTGGCCACCAGCAGTGATTGGTCCTTCGCCCAAAATTACGTCGCCAAGAAATATATTCAAGAAGTCGATAGAAACGTTTTGTTTGAGGATGTCAAATTACAAATGGATGCAAAACTTTGGTCAGAAGAATTCAACCGATACAGCCCCCCTAAGAAAATCGACATTGTTCAAATGTGCGTCTTGGAGATTATTGACCTGCCCGGGGAACCGTTATATCATTTGGAGCATTTCATCGAAGGAAAATATGTGAAGTACAACTCTAATTCTGGTTTTGTTTCTGACATCGCTAGGAAAACGCCTCAAGCCTTTTCCCATTTCACTTTTGAACGCTCTGGGCATCAGATGATTGTTGTTGACGTTCAAGGAGTTGGAGATCTCTACACTGACCCACAAATACACACTGTACTAGGATCAGATTATGGAGACGGAAATCTTGGAACAAGAGGAATGGCTTTATTTTTCCACTCTCACAAGTGCAATGACATTTGTCATTCTCTCTGCCTGACAGAGTTCGATCTTTCTGACACTGAAAGAAAATCAGTCGACGAATCTACCTACGTGATTAACAATACACAAGCCACTCAATTCAGTCGGCATCCGAGCAGTAATGCTTGCTCTGCCATAATGCAGGGTATGGAACAAGATGATGCAATGGAATGTCTACGAGTTCGTACTATATCTATCAGAAGCCGAAATTCTTCAAGCAGTGGAGGAACTTCTAGGAGAAGCTCAAGATGTTCGATGGATAAAAACAAAGCAAATCACGACGATGACTGTGTTTGTGAAGACTGTTTAGCTGAAGTTACTGCTAGTATTGGGATCGACTCATTCCGGGATGTGGACGATTTTGAAGATGAAGAAGACGATGACGAAGATTCAGTAAATAGAAGCACCCATGAAGAGTCTCCTGATGATCCTCCGCAACCTCTACGTAAAGTTGCCGTGCATAATCTCCAAGTTCAACGTTCAGAGAGAGAAAGAAGAGTTCGTGATCGTTACGACAGCATGGGAAGCTCTATTGGAACAAGCAGTATGGGAAGTTCTCGCCTCACCAGAGAGACGGAAAGAGAAAATTTCTGGAATGCGAACCGAAAACAATCAGTGCCTGCAGGAGTCCTCTCAGCAATCGAACTTCAACAATTATCAGAAGAATGCAACAGAATGGCTAACCATACTTTGATACTCGGACAAATCCATTTAGACCTCGCGAGATACCATGAGCTCGGCAGATTTTTACCGGAAGAAGACAACGAGGAGAAGAAACGTGCACTAGGAGAGACTGATGATTCAGAAGATTCAAGAGAAAGCGCAATTAAATCGTTGAAGTATGATACAAGTTCTGCTTTATACCATCTTGACGTTGCCCGTCGCTGTGGAGTCTTGGAAGCCATCATCACAGTCGCGCAAATGGTGTATGGAGCTCATCACGAACTTCTAAAGGATATTGGACAAGATGAAAACTGGCGTCATGACGGTTCTGATAACACTACTGGAGAAGACTATGATCGTGAAGCTTTCGCCTTTGAGTTGATGGAAACTGCAGCTGAGATGGGAGATCGTGGAGCCATGTTGTTTGTTGCGGAAGCTTTTGAAACAGGCAGAAAAATGGGAGCTGGAGCTCAACCAAGCTTTCCCAATGCCATCTTGTGGTATCAAAGAGCTGTTGGATTCAGTGATGATGATTCTGAAGGAACCTACCGTCCTCGATATGAAATTCTAGCACGGATGGCTGAAATGTATCAAGAAGGAGGGTGTGGATTGACTCAAGATTTTGATCGAGCTTACAACCTGTACAATGAAGCTGCTGAAGTAGCAATGGAAGCAATGAAAGGAAAACTTGCTAACAAATACTATGAGAAAGCTGAAATGTGTGCTTGTTAATTTTTTTTTCGGGTTTCTTTAATGCTTTTATCTACTTTTTGGTACCCTTTACCCTTGCCGGTGTTTTTTTTTTTGTTGCTGTTTTTGCATATTTTTTGCGCATGTAGTTACTTTTTGAAGATTTATAAAGTTTTGAGAAAGTCATTTTACTAGTAGAGATGTTCAGACCTAATTTGGGACTTGTTTTTCCCTATTTTTTTGTTGTGTTTGATCCTTAACGTCTTTCAGTGTGCTAAGTTGCCAGGTTTCACCCCGGAACTTCTCAAAATCGCGTGTGATAACACTTTAGCAGGGCCTGTTCGACAAGCCTCTGTAATCTATTTCAAAAATACTGTCTCAAAGTACTGGGAGGTAAGTGTATGCTACACTCCATGTTGTAACTGTTGTTCAGGCTAATAATGAAGATTCTATTCCTGAAGAGAGACGTGACTCTTACGTCATTCCTGATGCCGATAAAGAAGTCCTTAAAGCCAACATTCTGGAGGCTATCTGTATCTCGCAAGATTCTATAAGGTTTCACGATTTGCAGAAAGCCTCATTAATTTATTTGTTCAGGCCACAACTCTGTGTTGCTTGTCAATTGATGATTCGCACTGACTTCCCAGATAAATGGAATGGCTTACTTCCTGAGTTGGAGAAGAAGCTACTCTCATCCGAGCCAGCTTACTTACTTGGAGCTCTCCTTACTGTTTATAGAATGTCTAAAGTATACGAGTATGTTTATGAATGTTTTACATTTTTTGGAAATGATGCTTTAAGGTATAAGAGAGCCCAAGAACGTTCTCCACTTGTACATGTCATGAAGGCAGTTTTACCAGTGCTCTACCAACACCTTGTTCAGTTGATGCCAAATCAATCTGAGCAGGCTGTGACTATTCAAAAGCTCATGTTCAAAATATTCTACGCTCTCATCCAGGTAATGAGATGGCTAAATTTGTTAATAAACATTGTGTTCAGTTTAATCTCAATCTGGACATGGTTCCCATACCTTCTTTGGATGCTTGGATTGAGGCTTGCAAAGAAGTTCTAGTTCGTCCTGTACCCGATGAGGTAAAACGTGGATGTAGGTCTGAACTCTTTTCTTTTTAAGGTCAATAGCATCGAGGATGAAGAAGAAAGAGCTTACACTGTTTGGTGGAAATGTAAGAAATGGGCTGCGAAAATCATCGAACGTATATATGAGAGGTACTGCATTTACATAAAATTATAGTGGTTTTCTCTTTTTAGATATAGCACTCCTGGTCACAAGGAAGAAGGATATGCTGAGTTCGGAAACCATTTTGTTCAGAAGTTCTCAGTTCCATTCTGTGAAGTTATGATGAAAATCTTGGATGAAAAGAGAAATGGAGTGTATGTCACGGACAGAGTCACTCTGCTAGCTCTTGGTTTCCTGAATACTTCGATTTCGCATTCTTATACTTGGAAGGTCCTGAAACCACATGCTCAGGTACAACATGTGTTTCTTCGAAGCACTCAAGGAGGAAATTGCAGGAAATAGTGACAACTGTTCTTTTCCCTCTGTTGTGCCACAGCGATTCTGATGAAGCTATGTGGGAAGAAGACGTCGAGGAGTACATCCGTTTCAAATATGGTAGAAATTTGGATATATTCCTGTCTATATCGATTATGATTCAGATATCTTCGAAGACATACATAACCCTGTGTATGGAGCTGGTAGCTTATTAGGTTCTTTCGCTCGAAGAAAAGATGTGTTACATCCTATTCTGGCTTTCACAATTCAAATTTTATCTTCTTCGACTAACCCCAGAGAAGTCGACGGTGCCTTGCGTATGATTGGAGAGTTATCGGAGCAGATATGTAAAAACAAGGTACAATAATACCTGCGAATTTCTGCTAATATCTTCTTACAGAAGTACAAAAAAGACGTTGAAAAACTATTGGACTCTCATGTTATCAACCGGTTATCTGAGCCTTGCAGATTCATTAGGGCTAGAGCAGCTTGGTGTCTCAAGCAATATTCTCCTGCCATTTTCACTGCTAAGACGTTATCCAAAGCTATTGAGTCACTTGTGAACTGTCTGTGCAATTCAGCAGAAGAAATTCCCGCTAAAGTTGAGGCAGCTATTGCTTTAGAATCATTCTTAGACGATCAAGATGGATGTAATGATTATGCTCCCTAAACGTATATATCTTTTGATTTTAGCTGCACGAGTAATCCAACCACATGTTAGTCGAATTATTCCTAATGTGTTAGAATTGTGTTCTAAAACTCAAATTGAAGATGTAGTATCAGTTATGGACAAGTTCATGGAAGAGTTCATGGAGGATATTGTTCCCATCGCTCGCTCTGTTGCTGATCAGATGGTAAGAGTATCCCTCAGAAGAATTTTGAATATTATCCTTCTTTCAGTGCAAGTTGTTCTTGGAAATTATCAAGAGTGATGTTGCTGATGAAAGAACTCCAGCTCTGATGAGCATAATGAACAGCTTATCCAATGTTGTTGACATCGTAGGAGAGCATCCCGAAATTATGGTTCGAATCGAAGAGAGTTTACTTGAAGTGATCACTTATGTTTTCGAAACATCGAATATAGGTATTCATTTTCATCTAATTTAAACATTCAAAGATGTCTTTCCAGATTTTTACGATGAAGTGCTCATAGTAATACAATCGCTCATTTCGTTCACAGTTAGTGAGCCAATGTGGCAAGTGTTTGATAAACTAATGGAGGCATATACCGCCAACCTTGGTGTGCTCCAGTTCAGTGACGTCATCCCAGTCTTCCATTTGTACATAACCACGAACACGGAAAGCTTCTTAGCTCGACCTGAGCGTTTGAATGCAGTGATCAACTTGAGCAAGTCCGTTCTACAAAACAAAGAGGAAGGTGATGAAAATCAACTGTACGCTGCGAAAATATTGGAAATCATCTTGCTGCAATGTAATACAATGATCAATGAGGTTTGAGCGTTTTCTTTGTTCCGTTTATTCCGTGTCTTAAGGTTATTCCGTCTATCATGCTCATCGCCTTAGAACGATTAGGACAACCTTTCGAAGACGGGCTTACCGAGTTGAAGCATATGGTCCTCTTAGTAGTAGTTGCTGCTGTATATGTCAACAGCGAGCTTGCGTTCTCAGCGCTGAAAGAGCTGGCACCAGGCCATCCAAATCCTTTCGATTTCATATGTAATCAATTAGTTGAAATGGTGGATCAATTTTCTGGAATTCACAATAGGTTGTTCTTCAGAAGACTCTATCCTTATTGAGCTATTGTTTTCAGAAAGATGGCGTTGTTTGCTTGGTGTACCATGATGCAACTTCCTCCCAATTTCAGACCATCTATCTTCTCTTTCGATTCGAAAACTGTTCTTTTATGTTCTATTAAACTCTTTAATGGGTTACAGAGAGCATTGAAGGTACAAGCTGAAAATCGAAAGTTGGGAAATGAAGAAGATTCTGACGACAGCGATATCGACAGTGATGATGAAGGACATAGAAATATCGACGACGATTTATCAGACGATGATGATCAGTACGACGAATTGACTCTGGACTATCTACGGAACCTATCTAAAGAAAACAAAGGAGACGATGACGATGACGATGAAACAGATTTCGATGATGACGAAACTGAGAGTGAGCAATACACCTGTTGTATGGATCGTGAAAATGGCCCAGATGTATTCATAACATTCAAAAATTGTCTTGAAGGTAGGTTAAGCATGACGCTGAATTCTTGTATCCACCAATTTAAGGTTTCAAAGTCAAGGATGAAGTGTTATTCTTACAAATGGTCAATAATTTATCAGAAGAACAACAACAAGAACTATTAGCTTTGGATAAGGTGAAGTGTCGTGGATGTATAAGAAATAATGTGTTGTTCAGGTGTGTGAAAACCATGTGAAAGCAGAACAGTCGAAGTTGGTACGACAGCGCGGAGGATACTCCTTCAATGCAGAAGCTGAAGTTCCTGGTAATTTCAATTTCGGTAATTGAAGTAGATGTAAAGCTGTTAAAATTTTCGAAGTATTATCGCATTCTAAGACTTTTATTGAGACTGTGATAAGTTGTTATTACCTGACTGTTTATTTGTTTTCTTTATTCGAATCGTTATTTTGTTGTGTTTCCACAATGAAAGTTGTTGAGTCGCTTTGATTTTCCGAATGTTGAACCGTAAAATTGACGGAATTTACTTGTGTACTTCGTGAAAGAAGTAGAAAAGCGTTTGAAATGCACGACCGCTAACTGATGCCGATAAGTTGGGAATGAATTCATGTGATGTTTCATGTTAGACACTGTGTCAGTTAGTGAGCGGTTGTTCCTGACGGAAAAAGTTGAGGTTTTTTTCATCCTTAAGCAGTTAGCATGTATTTGGTTTTTGCTCCGGCTTAGAGTACCAGCAATCAAGCAGCATAATAGCAGTTTTTACCTAGCTTCTGTACTTGAGTGTTCGGATACCACCTTCATTTCAGGCCAAAACTGAGTTAAGGCGATTGACATTTTCATTTTTGCCCTTATAACGATCTCTTTCGTGAAATGGAACTTATGTAGCAGGTATTGATCGAGAAGTAAGTTGGAGATCAGGAATATTAGTAAGATTTGAGTAGCCCTCTGTCAGGGATCATTTTTTAGGCCAGATTCCATTAGCGTTTTGTTACTTGCCAGAGAGCAGTTTTCTTCCCAGTCCCGTTGGAAGTAAACTGTCCTCTCGTCTCGTAATATCAATTTTCTAAGGCTTGTGAGCAATAGGCAAAATTTCACGTCATAGTTCCTGCTCTTTGCAGAGAAAATAGAACTTAGGAATGCAAGTTTTTCAATTTTTGTGAAGTTTAACAATTTCAACAAATTCCAGAGTTTCACCTCGCGGTTTGGATGCAATGAAATTAGAGAGAGCTTGAGATATCAATGTGCGTATTAGTTCATTATTTCTTTGTATAATCTTTTTTGTTTCAGATCATATATTTATATTCGCTGTCTCGTTTCTCTATCGATAGAAGTGTGTTCATCTGCACGTAGTTTTGTCTCTTCATATTTGCAAGCAGGAGAGTAACCTGCCACACTGTGATGGACCAGCATCTCGCTCAGTTAGAGGAGTTCGAAGTTAATCGTCTTGATTATATCTTTCTCTGATTTATTTTCATACTCTTAGTGATTCCAGATGTATTAACTGCTTCCTTGTCCTGTTGGAAACTTTTCAAGTGGATGAGTAGCAGGTAGGACCCACCACTAGACCGTGTCATCTGTTTATGCTTGGCCGAGTAGATAAGATTGAGCAGGGAAGAAGAAAGAATAAGAATGAGTTTACAGTTTTTTTCAAGATTTTAGAAGAAAAAGTTATCTGGTACTGATTGATGGAGGATGAGATCGACGACGATAGTGTACAAGGATCCCGCTTTTCTTGCCCTGCTAGGAGCTTCACGTAGATGAGTAACAGGTCTGATTGAGTGCTAAGCTGAACGTAGTTAGGTCACTTCAGGTTCACGAGCAGGAGAAAACATTGGGATGGAGGAGGACGTCAACGACGGGTGGTATCTAAGAGCAGCAGCTCAGTTCAGGGGACTTGGAAGTTGATCGTACGTCGTGTTGCTCTCTTGCTGTAGTTAATCGTTATCATTCCAGTGGGTTCAGATGTGTTCACTGCTTCCTTGTTCTGTTAGGAGCTCTTCAAGTGGATGAGTAGCAGGTAAGAAGAAAGAATAAGAATGAGCTTATGGTTTCTTTCAAGATTTGAATAAGGAAAGTAATCTTGTACTGATTGATGGAGGATAAGATCAACGACGATGGAGGACAAGGATACCCCTTTCCCATCCCTCCCAGTGCTACAGATGCCTGAGGGCCCCAGACTTACCGACCGTGCTGTCCGTTTCGACCTGGCCGCGGAAGAGATTGCGGGCCAGTTCTATAGTCTGTTGGGAAAGGGGCAGGAGCCTAGACTAATGAGATCCCTGGGGGATCTCTGCGGCCTGGTCTAGGCTCCTTAGGGTCCGTCCTCTCGGCTCCCTGATGCTCAAGGTTTCTGAAGATATGAGTAGACCTGAAACTTCTTTTTTGAATTTCGATTCGGAATTGAAATGTTTCAAGTTAGCTTATATCGTTCAGAAAGGTGTTGATGCTCAGGGGAAGAAGCTGTGGGGACGCGGGGAGGAGGGCTTCTCGCGGGGACCCCGAAAATGGCGTTTTTTGCCGACATCGTTTTTTAGCGATGTCGGCANTCGCGGGGACCCCGAAAATGGCGTTTTTTGCCGACATCGTTTTTTAGCGATGTCGGCAAAAAACGCCATTTTCGGGGTCCCCGCGAGAAAAGCCTTCCTCCGGGGAAGATAAAGAAAGGGTGTTAATCTGTTTCAGATTCTGAAAAAAATGGCGATGCCTGCTTGTCCTGATCATGTGTTTCCCCTCCCTCCTCTGAAGAAGGAGAACACCTCTCACCCTCTTTAAGAGAGGGATCGAGAGTTCTCCCTCCTCTCCAGGGAGGATCAGCGAATCCCCCCACTGCT